CTCCCCCTCTCTAGATCTTCTCTGAATAAGACTGATTTATTATCCGCCGGTGTCTCCATTTCTTCCATCATTATACATCTATCTATCTATCCATCTATCTATCTATTTATCTATCTATCTATCTATATTTCTATCTATCGATCTATCTATCTACCAACACACAAAGGATGGGACTGTAAGAAAACGACCCAAAACTCTAAAAAATGACTATTTGAAGCTTGATTATTAGTTTCTGTGTTCAATTGAGTATTTTAATGGTTTACAAAATTATTAAACAAGAAACCATGAATGCAAGAAAACGGACTAAACAAATTCTGAAGTCCCATCCTTTGTGTGTAACCCTAATTATTTTACATATATCAAAGTTATCAACATTTATGCAGTTAGTTGAAATAAGTCATTCTTGATTAGTTTGGAGTATAGTCTTCAGTCCTTTTAAGTGGATGACACACACGGATGACACATCTGTTATCCTGTAATCTGTAAGCTGGTTAAAAATCCCAAGTTTGGTTTGGTTTGGTTTGGTCTGGTCTCGTTAGGGTTAAAAATGCTTATCAGTGCTCTCCTGTCATCTTGTCAATACTTGATTCTGGATCAATTCATTTAACTTGTTATATACAGCCTCTGTGTCTAGTGTCTAGTCTTTAATTTCTAGTTTCTAGTGTCTATTTTCTAGTGTCTAGTTCCTAGTGTGTAGTTTTCAGTGTCTAGTTTCTAGTGTCTAGTTTCTAGTGTCTGGTTTCTAGTGTCTAGTTTCTAGTGTCTAGTTTCTAGTGTCTCGTTTCTAGTTTCTAGTGTCTAGTGTCTAGTTGCTAGTGTCTAGTTTCTAGTGTCTAGTGCCTACTGTCGAGTGTCTACTTTATTGTGTCTAGTATCTAGTGTCTTATAGTGCCTAATGCCTAATTTCTACTGTCTAGTTTTTTGTGCTCATTGTTTAGTGTCTATAGTGTCTAATTTCTTGTGTCTTTAGTGACTCGTACTGTCTAGAGTCTAGAATCTTGTGCCATAGTGTCCAATGCCAAGGGTATAATGTCTAGTGGCTAGTGCCTCGTACTGTCTAGAGTCTAGAATCTTGTGCCATAGTGTCCAATGCCAAGGGTATAATGTCTAGTGACTAGTGCCTATCAATCTTTTAATCCTTTCATTTTTCATATATTTTTATGTTAATACATTTTAATCAATGCTTAGAGGGACTGTACAGGAAAAATGAAAGGGGGTATAGGTTAAAACTTGAGAATCTCAGGAGTTGATTGAGACATATTAGAGTTCTATCTGATGTTCCTGCCCCAAGAAATTAATATAAAACTGTGTCAAAATTATGCCAAAATGTATGTATGTAAGATGTTGTATAAGATTTGTAGTATTAGACAGATCATATTCCTCCAATACGCACCCAATCTGAAAACAACGATATCCCAGAGAAGCCCGAGAAACTCAAGTTTGCTCCTATTATTATTTGAATTTAATATTTTTTTTATTTTTAATAGATATAATTGATAATATTATTTATGCGCTTCTGGATCATGCAACCAGAACTCCAACCAATGGTAGAGCAGTATTATTTTTCACGTTCTTTGTCTGTATCACGTGACCAGTATACTGCACTGCTATTGGAGGGAGTTCTGGTCACGTGGTACAGACGTATATCTTACATGTATACGTTTTGGTATAATTTTGACACAGTTTTATGTCAATGTCTCGAGACAGGAGCATCAGATAGATGTCAACTTTTGAGATTCTCAGGTTTTAGTCGATACCCTCTTTCATTTTTCCTTGTCAGTCCCTTTAATAAGGTTTTCTCTGTGTCTAGTGGTCTGTTATGTTCTTTTTCTAGATGTTGGGTAAAAGGTCTTTTGATTACCTAATAATGAAGAGACAATTTTTTCTATCTTAAAGTGTGTTAAATATATTTCCTAGTATCTGTAGCATACAGGGTGTCCCACATCATTTCTTAATTGTTTATGTCTGTAAATTGCAAGTTTTGGAACTAATCGGAAAATCTAAAAAGAATGAAATCATTTTAAAATTGTATAAGTCTACTATAAAAATGTACATGCAGACATGGAGTGTATTAGTATTTAGTAGGTTATTCAAGTATTTCAGCGTTAAATCTTGGAGATAATTCAATATGATATGGGACGCTCTCTAGATCCACAAAATGAGGAATTCTCATCCTTGATCGCGGACCCAAGGGTCCCGTTGTGAATCAGAAATGCCACTTCATAAATAAAGTGTCACCTGGATTCCCTCTGTACCTGAAATATGTCTAAATATGTTTAGTTGGTGGATTCCCTCTGTACCTGAAATATGTCTAAATATGTTTAGTTGGTGGATTCCCTCTGTACCTGAAATATGTCTAAATATGTTTAGTTGGTGGATTCCCTCTGTACCTGAAATATGTCTAAATATGTTTAGTTGGTGGATTCCCTCTGTACCTGAAATATGTCTAAATATGTTTAGTTGGTGGATTCCCTCTGTACCTGAAATATGTCTAAATATGTTTAGTTGGTGGATTCCCTCTGTACCTGAAATATGTCTAAATATGTTTAGTTGGTGGATTCCCTCTGTACCTGAAATATGTCTAAATATGTTTAGTTGGTGGATTCCCTCTGTACCTGAAATATGTCTAAATATGTTTAGTTGGTGGATTCCCTCTGTACCTGAAATATGTCTAAATATGTNATAGATAGATATGTTAATAGAAAAATAAACATTTAGATAGATAGATAGATAGATAGATAGATAGATAGATAATTAGATAGATAGATAGATAGATCACTCTGAACTAACGAGAGAGAGAAGCATTCGGTTTCTTTTATTTGAAATCAAACGTGCTTTCGTCTATAACTCAACAGTCTTTAGATTTACAGATTTGTTTATTTTATACTTCTTCATTCAAAATGTATATGCCAAAAAAAGTATTTAAGATAAAAGGCTAATAAATTATGTAAAAGGGGTCATATTAAGATCGAAAGTCACAGTTTTCTTAAATATTGACAGAACCGTTAAATCCACGTGAGATAGATAGATAGATAGATAGATAGATAGATAGATAGATAGATAGATATGTAGATAGATAGATAGATAGATAGATAGATAGATAGATAGATAGATAGATATATAGATAGATAGATAGATAGATAGATAGATATATAGATAGATAGATAGATAGATAAATAGATAAATATACAAATGGTGTAAAGTGAAGCTCCTATGTAAACAGTAGAATATATCTGTTTGTTTACCCTCCCACCAATACGAAAGATGATGGTATACTCAGTAAACAATTAAAGGAATTGTTCACTATTTTCAAATTAAACTAATTGTTCAAGTAAACAATTAAAGGAATTGTTCACTATGTTCAAATTAAACTAATGGTTCAAGTAAACAATTAAAGGAAATGTTTAATATGTTTAAATTTAAACTAATTGTTCAAGTAAACAATTAAAGGAAATTTTTAATATTTTCAAATTAAACTAATTGTTCAAGTAAACAATTAAAAGAACTGTGTTTCATATGTTCAAATTAAACTAATTGTTCAAGTAAACAATTAAAGGAAATGTTTAATATGTTCAAATTAAACTAATTTTTCAGGTAAACAATTAAAGGAAATGTTTAATATGTTCAAATTAAACTAATTGTTCAAGTAAACAATTAAAAGAATTGTTTAATATGTTCAAATTAAACTATTGTTCAAGTAAACACTTAAAGGAACTGTTTAATATGTTTAAATTGAACTATTTACTTTTCGTAAATTTGTACATCCCCCCCACCTCTGTGTTTAGTTTATTTTACAAACCCTTCCTTGACATTTTTATTTAACACCCCTTGGTTTTTTATTTTTATTCTACAAAAAACCCCCTTTCAATTTCTATTCCACAAAATCCCCCCTTTTTAATTTTTATTCTACACAAACCCCCAGATTTTCTATCCTTAATAATTCATCCGGAGGTTGTTGGCTGAATATTTGATTTGAGAAATATTGTATATCTAAAATATATATATAATATATTACATAATAATATACAGAGTGCTTAAAATTATAAATTGAGACCGGGCCTACTTTTAAGTACTGCCGGGCCTTTGTACTTTTTCACCTTGTAGTTGCAACTTTTGTTTTTGCTGTACACTCAGTAGAGTTATTATTAGGCGTTTTTTTCAAGTGACATTAGCATGCTTAATTTAAAACCTTTGTTTTATCATCTATGAAAATGTAATGGTTCAATAAAGTGTTCTGATACTTTCAGAAGTATATTAATAAAATGCACAAATCTTCTGGCTGTTTGTATATGTGCTCGTATGCTGCTAAGTTAGTTGAAAAGGGGGGGGGGTTGATACAAGATATGTGGAATTGTG